AGGCTTGAGGTGTTCCGCTCCAACTGGTTGAGCACAGCAGAGCTGAGGCTGCCGCGACCCGGCCAGCCTCCTGCAAGGTAAGCACAGAGTGCATCTTCGGCTAGAAGATGATAATGCCACACTAGGCTTTGGACACCACTGGCAGCCAAAGGTGGACCCGACATACGACCTGGGCCGGCCAGCAAGAACCGATACGCCTGGAATGCTGGTGTACAGAGTACCCGAGAAAGGCAAGACGGAAAGATTTTAACCCCCTCGCCCGGGCATCGTCTCCAGCTTCGGTCTGCAGCCCTAGACCCTGTCCTTGGGATGCGTACGGACAGTAATCTCCACCTCGAAGCCCAGGTCATGTGGCACTGTGACGGTGAGCCGGCCACGACTGGAACCTCCACTGATCGGCGTCTCCGCAAAGGCAAGGGATGTGCCAGAGAGTCCATCTCGAAATGCCTCAAAGGCCTGCACTGGTGTGCTCGGAACCCTTGGAACCCTCGGCAGAGTGTACGTAGTGCACCGCGCTGAGCTCGCCGGATTTGGCGCTGGTGGACCACTCGGCCCGGACGGGCCTGATGGGCCGGCCTCCTCTCCAGTCGTCGATGGCCCATCTCCACGGGACGCAACCGGGCGATTGACAGGAACCGGCGGGGGAGGTCCACGCGGTGGCCCCCTCGATGGTCCCGAAGCCTTTGCCGTGGCGTGCTCCTCACTCGATTCCCCAAACATGGACAAGCCAGCCGTCGAGGATGGCGATGGTGAGTCTGTACCACGTTTTGCCTTAGCCTTCGCAGGCGCAGCCGCACCCCTTGGTGTTCGTGAGGCCTGTCTGGTCTTCGGCGCCATTTCTGCCAAGAGAGGCTGGGGCCAAAATCTACAATGCTAGCAAGGTAATGCCTGCGGATAGCGGACAGGTGTGAGGGCCACAAGCAGTCAGCACAGTCTGGGAGTGCCCGGCTCAAGCTGCTACGCGTCCAAGTGCCAGACGCAGGAGGCGCGAGGAGCAAGGTGAGGGGCTTGGACCACTGCACAAGAAGTGCCAACGCTGCAAGTAAGCGCGCCATCCTGCAGCCTACGTGCCATGTTCGATTGGGGTGCTGGCGGCCTTCTAGAGAGCTTACCTTCCTAGAAGCGGAGCCCCAACGTTTCACGCACAGAAAAGACATCACAACTGAGAGCCAAGAACCTTAGTAGTAGTAGCAGCAGCAGTAGTAGTAGTAGTAGTAGGAGCAGCAGCAGCAGGGGCAGTAGTAGTAGTAGTAGTAGTAGTAGTAGTAGTAGTGGTGGTGGTAGTACTGGTAGTAGTGGTAGTAGTACTAGGGATATGCTAACAATGCTGTTTGAGGCTGTTTGTAGAAGTGTGGCATCAGTATTTTACGAGATGACAAACTGCGACGTTGACGCTTGCCTTCACCGTTCGGTTCGAAGCACGTACTACCCAAAGCCACGGCGCCGCAGTGCAACAACCACGATTTGTTGCTTTGTTCGGAACCGTTGTCGCAAACCCGTGCGAACTTGCCGCCCGTGGTTTCCAATTGCACATGCCCACTTGGCAGGACACTAATTTGTTTGCCTGTCGGATTCACTTGGAATCAAAACGAGGCTTCTTGGCCATGCTAACGCTGACGCCTGGTAGCCGGCAGGTTTAGCAACGTTGCAACGCAACCGTGCACTTGCAATTCCTGCGGTTTCTGGTGCGGTGTCGTTGTGCAGCTATCCGACGCCTTCTTTCGGTTTGGGAAGGGGCGGGGGCACGAGCAGGAAGGGACTGGAGCGAGGTATACAGTAGCAGCAGCAGTGTGGCATCGTACAGAACAGCATGGCGTAGTCTTCCGATCTCGCCTGCCCAACTGACCGCTGCTTAGCGTTCAAGATTCTGGACTAAGGTTGCTGTGGGGGGGCAATATCTATGCTTGCGCGACGCAGCGGCAACATGGAAAAGGTTGGGAAGGGTGCCCCAGCTAGCATGCTGCCTGGAGGGTGCCCGGCCGCAACCACCCCATGATGCAGGCCCGGGAGTGGCCGCACGGCTGGCAGTTTCACCGATGCAACGTCTACTATCGCGACCGCGTGCTGCTGCAGGCGGGCCGCGCGCTGATGCCTGGCTATCGGCCGCGCCAGGCGAACGAGCACTCTCGCCCCGCAGACCTTGCACTTGCCGCTGCGGCTGCGGACCGCAGGTAGACCAGTATGGGGACCACCACGCCCTCGCCTGCCCCCTCATTGTGCTGTTGGCATGCCGACCGCCGAAAATCGTCGAGCGAGCTTGGGTGCGCGTTGCCCGCAGGGGCGGGGGGACCCGATAACGGGCAAGTCATCCCTCAACAATGTTTGGCATACATGCTACCGCACCGGCCGTGATCATTCTGCTACTGCCCGATCCTGCTATTGCCGCGGCATGCTGCGGCTATGCTACACAGGGCGCGTCCGTCCATGCTGCCCGTTTGGGGTCCAGCGATATGGCACTGTATATGTAGTTTCACACACGCCTGTTTCCCCCAGCAGCTGTGTCCAGGTTAGGTCCGTCCGTCTCCTGAGGAAACTCGGTCCCAAGTTAGGGTCGGCTCAGTGCAGCAGCAGGCGGCTCATCCCTTCCGGCTCTGCCAGGTCCAAAACGACGGCGACGACGACGACGACGATTACTACTACTACTACTACTACTACGCTTATCATACCAACATCCTATTTGTTCCCTACTTCGCGACTCGCTCAGCCCTGTAGGAGGCAAAAACTACTGCTACTAGAACTACTAAAACTACTGCTGCTATTACTACTACTACTACTACTACTACTACTGCTACTGCTACTGCTACTACTACTACTACTACTACTACTACTACTACGACTACGTTGACACCACCTTTGTGTCCCCTCTCGACGCCAGTGGGGCTGCCCGTCGGCACCAGCGGCAGTACCGCGGCGTCTTCGCCTGGCACGCAGAGCTAAGGAACGCACCTACCCGGAGCTGCTGCGCTGCAGCCTTGGACTCGGGCGTGGAGGACGCTGACCTCGCGAAAAACAGCGTGTAGCTGCAGTTCCTCCCCCCTGCACTGGGACCGCAGAACTCTGTCGCATTTTGTTTTTCCTCGCACCTTTTTCCGCCAGCAGCTCCTGGTCCTAGAAAAACACCGGTTCAGCGCAGCGGCAGGCGGCTCGGCCCGTCCGGGTCGGCTAGATCGAGGACCTGGTCTAGGGCCGGCGCATCAATATGTGCCGGTCCCGGCATGGCCCGGACGCGCCCTAGCGCCGTGTGGCCGACGGCTTGCTGGATGGCCACGGAGAGCACGCTCCACCAGCGGCGGGCACACGCAGCCTTCACCTCCATCCGACCACAGGGATGCGCGCGAGCGCGCAGGGCTCGCGAGCCCTAGTCGCTTGCCGCTGCGACGGTAGTCATTAGCAACCATGGGCTCGGTCGCCACGTGCAGGTAGCTGCGGGTAATAACCCCCCCGGCAGCGTAGTGGGACAGCTGCCATGTAGGCGGAGAAGGGTCGCGTCGTGAGGACAAAACAAGCCATGAAAAAAAAAAACCATGACGGTTGTTCTGCAATCCTGTTCATACTTATCAGCACCCCTTGCCGAGGCGAATTCGTGCGACACCGGTTTCCACCGAGCTCGCCGTATCGACATTGATTTGGAGGAAGGAGAGGTGCTAGGGTTTGATGTTAGTGTTCTCTGCGCAAAATATGTCGACATTGCAGGTGCTCTTTGTGCCCGGCGGTGCGCCACACCTTGTCGTCAATTTGACCGACACCGTGGCTTTTGCTGGAAATTTTCTTGATGACTCTAATTTGGAGGCTTGGGTGCATCGGTGAGAAAAATTGGTGGTGTGGTTGTTGGTGCTTGTATTGACAACCACCAAGCAACGCAGGCGGCCATGGCAGACATCAAAGAAATGGCTGCCAATGAGCAGAAGAAGAAGGCCAGGCCGACAACATGCCCCGAGTACATTTCCGTCTCTTGCACGACGTGGTTCCAAATGGTTTGAGTGTTTGTTTGCTTCAAAGGGTTGCATTGACAGGCCGAGCCAGGGCCTATGCAAGGCCGGCCTGCCGACTTTTGAGAAATCTGCCTGCACGCATGCAGATGCTGCGGGTGTGTGTTTTCATGCAGGATTTTTGTCTGCCCTGGAGGACGCTGGTCCTGTGCTTGTGTGTTTTTCTTAAGCCGGTTCCATACGGTTCATTGGGCACAGACGTGTACAGACACAAGCTCTGCTGAAGCATTGCGTAACCACAATACATAAATGCGACAAAGCAACCTATGTGTCGTAAAAAAAAAAACCTATGTGTCGTATATTCTGCTTTGGCGATAGCAAATCTTCGGACATGTCAGTCTGCTGAGACTTTTCAGCTGCTTGTTAATAATTTGTTGTTCTTGGGTGCTATGTCTGTTGCCCGAGCCTTCCACCATGCAGGAGATGGTTTTCGATCCGGACAAAGCCATCTGCGAGGAGACGCCCCACATGATTTGTCATGTGTGAAGCGCAGGAGCTTGGAACCGTTAAAGTCACAATTGCTACTGTGGCCCATGCTATCTCCAATTTTTTAACAGCCCAGAATAGTCGTCTCTGCAGACCCTAGCCACCCATGCACCCACACCCACACACGCAGACAAAGACGGACAGACGGACGGAGAGACAGTTAGGTCGATGGTTAGAAAGAACGAAACCTTTTAGATCTGTCAGAGAATAAAAAAAGGTTGTTCAGTAAACAGTTTTGTACAAATGCTTGACTGATTTCAAGTGGAAGGATGGACGGATTGATCCCACCGGTTGTTAATAGGGTTGGCTGGTTGGATATGTTTGGACTCATTGCTGTGTGAATGTGAAGAAAACTCATTGTTTGCATTGTTTGGTTGAGTGAATGAGTAAGCGAGCGAGCAAGGTGAGCGAGTGAGTGAGTGAGTGAGTAAGCGAATGTGTCAGTGTGTGAGCGAGTGTGTGATGGAAGAACGGAGCGAGAGAGAGAGAGAGAGAGATAGAGTGTTGATTGATGTGATTTGTTTTGTTTCGAACCGATTCGATTTGATGTTGCCGTTGATTCGACTAAATTTGATTGACTGGCTAATTGATTGTTTGACTGATTGATCCATTGATTGGTGATGGATTGAATTTTGGTTTGGGTTGCATTGAGTTGGATTGGTTTTCGTCCAATTCGAGCGAGGAATCTGATTGACAGCCTGCTAGGCCAGCTAGCCATCCACGCGGTAGGAACCGCGAGCCAGGCAGGAATAAGCGCGGACAAAAATGACAATCTTGTCCTTGGTGAATTTGGTGCTATGCGTCAAATTTCTCATGCGGTAGCACCAACATGTTTTCGAGATTCGCAACATGTCGAAATCCTGATGAACAGTGGGATTTCTTCCGAAAGGCTTTCCCGTGTCGTCTACCACAAGGCACCTACCCTAATCCGGACATGCAGCGAATCTTAATCTTCACCCTTATACACCCTTAAACCCCAAGCCCTACCACAGCCTAAAGATCGCCAAGTGAGGACCAACTCCCCGGCCGCATGCTCGCCGTGCGGTACGCAGATTTCGAGGGCGGACGATCTGCAGGTCGGTTTCTTCTGGGGGTTGTGGTCGAGGGTTTAGGGGTTGCTTTTTCTGGTGTTTTTGTACTCCAAGTCGAGCGTTTTAGGGTTTATAGGGTTTAGGGAAACCCTAAACCCTAAAACTTGCCCAAGCTGCTTTTTTGTGCAGGTTGGGGCGCTGTTCCTCCAGACGAGCTGGATTTGTGACAAATGTCGACGGCTCACGCTGGCAAGATGGTTGTTAGGCCGCAAGGCAGTCGAGCTTTGTGCAACATATTCGCGGTTGTTAAAAAAGTCCGCACATGCTTTTCAAGACCCATGTCCGCCGTACCCTTCATAATATAGGGCAGAAATGATTGCCAATACTTTTTTAAGGGGACATACCCCCCAAACCCTATTCAAATTTTTTCGGCCCCTACATTAGCCCCGCTGCATGCGCTGCTGGTTGCACCTGCACGTCTGGCAAGTTCACAACTGCAGCAACTGCGACGCGCAGGGGATGCAACTTGGGCAGCGCGACCTGTCGAGCCGAAGCTCCAAAAGACTGCGTGGTCGGCCAATGGAGGCACCTCCCAGCAGGGTTTAGGGTTTATAGGGTTTAGGGTTTAGGGTTTAGGGTTTGGTTCTGTCAAGCAGACAGCACCTTTAACGAAAGTAATTATCCGTAGCGTAGTGCTTATACCAGCCCATGGCACACGCTTCATTCTGGGCCGCTCTTATTCTGTCAGCCCTCCTCGGAGCACTATTGCATTTTCAGCCCTCATGTGTCGACTCCCGCTGCAGTTCCTGGTCGCATTGTTCCCATGATTGCGACGGCGGACAGCGGGCTCGCATCCTGCCTCAGACCATGTGCGAGTTTACGATTAGTATCTAGGTAGGCCTTTGGGGCATTTTGCATTTCCCTTACTGGGCTTAGCAGGATCTTATTTGCGAAACAATTTCGGGGACTTTAAAGGGCCAACCCAGGTACAGTATCATGGCACGGGTGACTTTAAAGGTGCCACATGATAGAGCTCAGGGATGGGAGGGGGGCTTTTGGGAATATGGGGCAAGCTTTGGGGCAAGCTGGCGCACTGTCTCAGCGATCCTGGAGGTAGGGATGTCTTTACGAAAGGCTTGTGCAGGAACCTGTATACAGTTTACCAAGTCGTAACGAAAAACCCGTAACACGGCGAAGTTGCCTCAGCAAGAGTTCGCGAGAATTGTGTTCACTAAGGACACCGGCAGATCAAGGCACGCTGAGGGCGCATGAGCGAGTTGGACAGAACAAAGGAGATTATAAGAACAATCGATATCGTACCGATGGACCCGGCCTCGATGCTAGTATCAAGTGCTTGACCTTTCCCTGTGACATGTGGAGGCTTATCCCGCGAACATGGGCAAGCCTTGCGAAGCAGCACTGTCACAGACACAGCACTGTCTCTCACTGAGTTCTGCTGGTTCTTGCAACCCAGTCCCAGAAGCCCAGCTACCCATAGGAGGTTGTTGTCTCTGAAGCATTATCAGTTCCCCAATGCCCAACCTTTAAACTTTTTGGGTTCTTATGATCTAGTGGTCTGAAAGTTAAACCGTTTATTTCCTTGGCTTATTGGGGAAGCAATGCATCATATGGGCAACCGGGCTTCTGCGGCAATTGGGTACCCTACTCTCAAGGGTCCATGAACCCATCGTCCATCTGCGCCCTTACAGTGAGCGCAAAACAGGTAGAATCAACATATAGGGTTACACAGACCCCTATGTCCGCAGGCTTGCGGCAACCCACTGACGCATGTGGTCCTCAACCCGACTGCCCCCTACAGCCTTAAAAAGCCCACAGCCCCAGCAGAAAAAAAGCCAGTCTGAGGCAACACGCAGATCTGTTTGGGAGAAAGAGGCCGACACGATTGCCACTGGCAAGCCTGGGAGGCCCAGCACATCCGGCACGAAGACTGTAGGGTTTTGGGGTGTGGGGTTTAAAGATGAATTGGGGCAGGGCCTGGTTCAGGGTGTACGTTTTGAGGTTAGGCTGGGGGGCTTGAGGGTAGAGTTGCGGCCAGCAGTTGATCCCCTCGAAAGAGACCCAGAAGATCCCAACTCCTGCGACGTCTTGTTCATCTTGGTGAGCCTGTTTGTTGGACCTTGCTTGAGCCCCTCGGCAAGGCGTGGGAAGCGTGCAGTCGGACGGGCTCTTAGCTATTGCCCGTGTTGCCTGTTTCGTACGGCACTCATTGTTCGTCATGGCCCTTAGGAGCTGCGACGGCGGAGAAAGGACTCGAATCCACGGCATGTATTGGCACATGAGTGTCATGTGCTGTACATCGGTGTTCCGGTCGAGGACATGGCAAACACATTTCTAAAGCCCTTTAAACCATGAGCCCGAAAGTCCCTAAGCCTTACGGCCTCTGCAGAGCAACTCCCAACCTCAGCGCCAGGTCGTCGTAGCATCGCTGCAGAAGCTTCGGGCCACGGGCGGGCCTGCGAGGTGGGCTTTCTTTTTGTCAGGGTGGGGGAGGGGGGGGGATTGAAGGATTTAGAGTTTAGGATGTAAGGGTTTTCTTTGCAGGGTTTTTGAGTGGCGTTGGGATTCTAAGGATTGTTGAAAATAAAGATCTTGCACAGAGGGGGTTATATGCTAGGGGAGAGTATTGCGAAGGTCGGATCATCGGGGCAGCGGAGAGTTTCAATGATGGAAATCGTGATAGTCGGGTTTAGGTTGCAATAATGGTGGCCGACCTGCTGGTGGCCGACCATTTGTTAGCACTGATATATTGTCTTGATTATTCGGATCAGTTATTGCGTCAGCCAGTCGCAGCAGCGTCGAAAGCGGACTCCAGGCCAGCAGCTCCCTGGAAGCCGAACCCTGCAACACGGCGAGCTGTTGGACAATGACGGAGGCCTTGGTCTCAGCAACAGAGGCTTTAGGAGTTTAGGGTTCACTGTTCCAACATGCTGCGTAAATTGAGAGACGACTGACTGTCGTGAATAATGCACACACACACACACACACACTTAAACACACCCATCGTGTATGTCTTTTGTCCATCAGCCCGTGCCTCAGACGGGGGTCGTTTGCATCAGACATGTCCTTGGTTTTGCTCTTGGCTGAGGTTTGTGCTTGGTCAGATTGGGAAACCTACGGCCAGTGCTCCAGGCGACACGCCGCAACTTAATTGTTTGCCGCGCTGATTCTAGTCCTGCACACGAATTCTGAGTACACCAGACATGCACACATACACAAACGCCTGCACACACACACACAACTCAAGAACACCATACCCCACCCTACTTGCGGCCCTATGCACCCCAAGCCCTCTGCAGCCACCTCAAAAGCTACTATAAATATACAATAACATTCTATAACTATAGTATAACATACTTTAAGATATCATGGTGTTCTGAGCGGGTTGGCCATAGTCACCTCGCAGCTTCGGCAGAGCGAGAGGGAAAATCAGAATATTCCAAAATAGACTGGACTATCTGCAGGTCCTGCGGCAGCGGCCAGCAGACGCGGAACCGACAGAAGACGTGGCATTCCCCCGACGCGGCCAAGGCTGCAAAGCGGAACCGCTGTGACTCATTGTGTCAAGACTATAGGACGAGAAGCATACAGCAGGTCTAAACTGAAAGTGTACAAATGTATTCTTGCAGTTGCCTTGCTGTGTTCTTCGAGTGCCATCATAAGCCCCATGTGACATATGTGTGCATACTTTGGAAACGGGTTTATGCAGAGCCTCTCACCGCGCAGACATCCACAGAACATGTCGGTTCGATGAACCTATACACATCGGTATGTACATCGCTGTGTGCGTGCGGCAGTCTTGGCCTATGTAATATTCGTAGCCGCGTCGATTGTCGAGATGTTGTTGGGCCACATGGTCTTAGTAGGTGGAGCTAACATCCACAGAACAGGTTGCAAGCACTAGCTCCCTAAACCCTAAACCCTTGCTGGCCACACAGTGCATTGCATGCACGATTTTGCAGTTCGAGAGGAGCTGGGATTGGTGCCCTCCCGCAGGTTGCACCGGCCTCAAACTCCGGGCTTCCCCGTGGATGTGCAGTCCGTGTTTGCTCTGTAGAGCCGGCAATGCTGCAGCAGTGTCTGCGCAAAGCAGTACTTGAGTATCAATACAGGGCCCCACCCCAAGGTAGTCTATTCAGGCACAGTTTATCCTGTTCCGTAGCATTATTATATAGACAATACAGAAACCAATTCATTATTATGCCATAGATACTGAGCTACAATATTGAAAACACACAAACATGCAATATCCAAGTATATAACTTTTACATATGCGTATGAAAATACACAAACGATTAGATAAATAGACGCTAGATAAGCAAACACACAAGTTAATCTCAAAATCGAATGGGTAAAACCGTAAACATACACGTGCTTACTATATACATGTATATATATATATGTATATATATATACATACTTATATTTACATGTTTGTGCAGCTATCTACATATGCATATATACATATGTATATATATATACCTGTGAAACCGAACCTCCGTAAATAAACAGGCGCACGCACTTCTTGAATAGGAAGTGAGCGTTTGGGCAAACAACGACATTTGGGGGGTTCACGGCTTCAGGCCTGAAGGGCTCCAGGGCTTCAGGGCTTCAGGGTTCGATGCGTCCGAATTTGCCGCCCATCACAAGATTTCAAGCAATTGTCCATCTTAACCCCTATAAACCCCAAACCCTAAACCCTAAACCCTAAACCCTAAACCCTAAATCCTAAACCCCGGTTGCTTGGCGAATAAAGTCTCAAGCGAATCACTTCTCAACGGCCTTTTAAAGTAAAATCCCCGAATAGAAGCCCTCGGCCATTCTTTTCATCGCCAATGCGGCGCTCTTCGGGCTTTCTGGAGGAGCCATCCTGGGCGGGCTTGTTGGGTCTTAATGGGAATAGGATTTATGATTGTCAGGGTTCGGGTTGGGTTGGGGTGTTATAAGAAATATGGAAGTACATCGTGGCCTAAATTATTTTGCTTAGCCTAAAATAATCAACGATCGGTTTATGCTCGGGAGTGATTTAGCTTCTATATTGCTGCAGAGGCACTCACAGCATACTGAAATCCATCATCTGAAACGTTTCATGCTTGAGCGCTGTGTGCATGAAGAAGATGTATCTTTGCAGTGTTTTGACAGCAACTGCCCTCGTATTGACTCTCCTCGATACGCGTGCCGTCCGCCCAACAAAATCTTCACTTGCGAAGGTGGCCTCGCTCAAGGGATTCACAGCAAAACCACGGGTTTGCCATTCCTCAAACACTCGATGAAACATGTGGTTGAGGTAGTGCAGCTTGGGCCTGAGCTTGAATAAGCACAGGGACTTCCTATGGCACATGGATACCAGCGTAGCGTAGCCGGTAAGGAATCTGTGACCAGACTCCATGACGATCTCGGTGTGTGACTTCGACATAAAGTATTCGGCCTCCAAGCATGTTTTAATGGCCACGTTCATTGCTTTTGCAGTTGCCGAAATCTCCGTGAGGATTTCGTCAGCTTCAACTTTTGCTCCGAAATCACGGCGGTCCAACAAAAACGTGAGGAACTTCATAAACACCGCCGTGTCCATGTTCTTAGACCACTTGCCCTCAGGGTATTCCCGCGTTCCATTGTACCCCAGAAGGTCTTCTGTAAGATGACCACAATGGAGTTTCTCTCTGGTGGCACGCATCCAGTTTTTCAGGGCTTCATTCAAACAATCAAGATTCTTCGCGACGGATGACTGTCCAAACAGCACCTTCATGGCATAGATAAACGCACTTGAAGTGAAGTCCAAGCCGACACCAGCATGCCAAACATGAAAAAAGTCTGCTCGAAAAAATGCTGCCGGTGTCTCACCCAAGTCCAGCAGCATGTACTTCAGGAGAGCACCACCATCACCAAGCCATGGCAACGGGTTGTTCAGGTGGCCGGTTTTCAACCACTCCGGCTCTGTGAAGCCCAAGTGCTCAAAGGGAATCCTTGTGCCGTGCTCCGGGTCTTCGAAGCCGGCGTGACAAAGCCAACAGCATCCTTTCTGCTTTTTTTGTCGTGTAGTGTGCCTCTTAGCAACATTATGGAAACTGCGGACAAGCTTGGCAACCTTCTTTACGAAAGGAGAATCTCCAGTGAAGCCGATGATAATGATGCGCCAATTGCTGCCTGCAGCCTCAAAGCCATCCTCCAGGAGCGACCGCAGCTCTTCACCCCAAATGACCATGAGGTCATCGAAGACCCCGCCATCCTTTTTGGCAACCAAACTGCTCAGAACAGTAAACAAGAACCGCGTGGCACCCGAGTGTCCCTGCAGGTTGATTCCGAGCTCGATCTCACTTTCCAAAGGTCGCTTTGAACTTAGGTCCACACGTCTCTTGTTGGAACCAGTGCCAAGGGCTGGAAACATTGATGGGATCTCGATAGGATCCTTCTTAAACCCTCGGCCACCATCCCCATGCAGGTAGTAAGGGATCAACTTCTGAAAGTTAAGATTCCGACTCGTTTCGAAGACTTCGTGTCGTGGGTGAAGGGCTCGAAACTTCTGCCAAAACACGTCAAGAGCTTCGCTTGCCAAGTGGATGGGTAGTCCCAATACTCGATGGAAGTAACCGTGTTCACTCAGTACTTCCACTTGTTTCTTGGGGCTGAAAAAGGGATACCTGTGCAGGCTGCCAGCCTGCCTCCAGCTAAAGTCAATCGGTAAACCCAAATCATTCTTGTACAGCAGCTGAAACAGGGGAGCATCGGCATTAGACAGTGGCACCTTTGCAATCTTGGCCAACAGCGGGCAAGGATCTCGCTTCGCGGCCGCCTGAGCGTCCAGCACCAGATCTTTCGCCGCGACCTTGGCCGAGCCAGCTTTGCAAACTACAATTTAAGTTTGGAAAAGCTTAACGGGCCAGAGTCACATGCAAGACTTCATCGGTGGAGCAGCATGAGTCAGAGGCTGTGTGAGTACATACGTAGCAGAACTGTCACACACTCGGGCACTTGTTTTGCATGTTCATGCGCAGTGTAAGCACGATCGGGATTTCTCAGCTTGGCTGTGTGAAATCACACATGCAACAAGCAAGATTCACTATGTTCGATCTGAAGCAGTAAAGTCGATCGATCAACCTAGGATGGGCTCGCGCTGAGCAGCACTTGTGGCCGCACAATAGGCATAGTATGGAGGTGGGAACCTAGGCGTAAAGTCCTTCCTGCGCATACTCTCCCCAACCAGTTGTTTGTTTCTGCAGCAGTGTTCATCGTCATGAAACTCCGCTATCAGTGCAGCTTCTAGCATCTCCATCATCCCCAGCAGCTCTGGCTTGGAAACCTTGTGTAGCACAATGAAGGACTTGAAATTCTTTTCCAAGTAGCTTCTCCTGCGCTGAAGTGGATCAGATGTTAGGCCAATCTTGAACACGCAAAGTGACTTGCCGCCGAAATCCTGCCGCACTCTATTGATCACCCTGACACAATGCCAAAGAATCTTCGAAGCAACTGCGGTTTCACATATACATCTCTCATCCAGGTCCGCGCTTGCGATCCTCGGAATCGTCTGTGAGGCAGGGGACTCAGGAGCCCGAGTTCTTGAAGAAGCCACTGAACCAGGGGAAGCCATGTCGACATCTGACTGATGTGTCTGCATGGCATCGTCTTCGGAATCCGTCCATGGAAAGATGTCAAGTTTTGCAACAGTTGCCATGAGCAGGCGCACGGATGTTCCCAGACCTACATAGTCTAGCTTTTGTGCTGCGCAGTTAGACAGCCACTGCATGATGCATATAGTCTGCGATCGATATATGCATGTGCATAGAAAATGAAACCTGCACTACTTCAGATGTGCATTGCATGCAGCTGCCGGCACATAAGACAGGATGCACTTCAAGCACGTGCGATGGATACCTTAAAGCCGGGGCCCCGGCACCTTTGCCATACTTGACAGCGATCAGGTGGACCGTCGCACTGATATTGGGAGTGTCGTAGCTGCCTGACACGGCATTGTGATTACATGGGAGCTTACTAGCACAGCATTGGGCAGTTTGCAAAGGTTTGGCACGAAGGCATAAAGGCATGGAGTTAAATCCACTGGAAAGTTACATTGGGTATGTCTCATGATTAGAATGCATGTAGGAATCTGATGCCAACGGGTGTTTGGAGTAGGTTACGTTTTCGGGGGTGACATCAGCTTCATGGTACTCAGAGCTTTTCTTTTTGTTGGGATAAGGGATTTTTCGCATATCTCTTTAGGGGTTTAGGGTTTGCATGGTCGATGATGATTTTGGAGCCCTGCACTTCCCCAGTAACTTCCTAGAATTATATATGTATGATTCTCGATCTGCCTAGGTTCCTGTTGGAGTTTAGAGTTCCCCCCACAAACAAGTAATGACATTCATTTCACATCGATCGAAGCTGCATGGTCACTCAGTGCCCCGGAATGTGTGCCCCCTGCGTGGAAATCCGACGAGGAGGCCTAGCGACCTAGACAGCCTCAGCAGCCACAACTTGCAGGGCTACAAGCAATTTCGAAATATAGGCAGATCATCCCATCATGACTGACTAGGCCATTCGCGCATGGAGCTGAAACACTTTCCATCACATTGGCTGCTGAAGGCTTCAACACAAGCCTGAATTGCACCCCTGAATGTGAGACAGCTCGATCTTGCCACGCATCCTGTGGAGTGCTGGCTTCCACAGATGCAAACATATGCCAGCTAGTACATGCATGCATCACACCTTTGCAGCCAAAACCTTCTGTGTGTCACCTCATGCCTACATATACACATGCCCCTACAAAGGCTACATCCTGAAATTGTTCTTGTTGGGTTGTAAGTGCTGTATTGTCCACATGAAAAGGAATGACCAATACACAAGTGATGCATGCATACACCCATGGCATCCCACCAACAGATGGATTGACTGATATTCAGTCCAAAGCTTCTCTGCCACAGTAGCAGCGTAAAGCTCCAAAATCAAAATGAAGACCCCAGCGACCACTCTGGCCGCCGAGGTTGAAACTCACTCTGCTTCCTTCTTCGCAGCCTTGCGCGCCCTGCTGATCGTGGACCTCAGAAGAATGGCGGTCTCAAGTTTCGGATGGTTTGGTCAGATACCCTAAACCCTAAACCCTAAACCCTAAACCCTAAACCCGGTACGCATAATGATGGACATCGGTAGATGAATTTTGGAATGTAGGGTTTCTGGACACAGATTGCATCTTGACTGCAAGCTGGCAACCTCTTTATGTATATGTCCTCGATCTACCCAAAAACCTTCTATCTGGGCTTAGTTGACGTTTGGGTGAGGGCTCGCCGAGAAAGGAGAGCGAGAGTGAGAACGAGAGAGGCAGAGAGAGAGGGAGGGAGACCGAGAGAGAGCAAGAGAAAGTGAGAGAGAGAGAGAGAGACAGA